AAAAAAAAAAAAAAAAAAAAAAAAGAAATAAAAAAATGTAAAATTTGAGAAAATTTTTAAAGGTATCTAAGAATAATTTAAATAATTAATAAAAAAAAATGTAATTAATTATTATGAACTTCATAAGAAATGGAAATAGTTCTAAAAAGAGGGGAAACTTTTTTTTTATTATAAATATATGTTAAAAAATGATTAAAATAAATTTTATCCATTAAATTATGATCAATAGATGTATTTATTTGAGGAATAAACAAAATCATAATTATAGATGATAATATGCAAATTAAACATGAAAAAATTAAATTAACGAATGTAAAATATTTCAAAGTTATAAAAAATTTGATTAATGAATATGTAATAAATCCTAAATTACCAAAGAAAACAAAAATACCTATTAAGACTCCCTTACATATTGTATGAAAAGAATTAATAGAAAATAAAAATAAAGACACATTAGGTATAAACAGAAATGAATAAAATATTACAATATATATAATGTAAGTATTATCACATAAAGAAAAATGAAAATAAGATGTAGAAAATAAAAACAATATAAGTCCAAAAGATACAAATGTAATCAGTAGATATCCAAATAAATTTAATATTTTTAATATAATACGATTTAATTTAAAATATAAATAAAAATAAAAAATTAAAATTACCAAATTCACAATTATAAACGAATTATTCAATTTATAAAAATTTGATATATTTTTTATATCATAAATAAATAAATTGTAAATTATAAAAAAGCTTATATATAAGAAATTAAAAAGGAAAAATAATAAACATAATGCTACAATTAAATATTTGTGAATATCAAAATAATAAGAAATCCATTTCATATATATTTTAAATGTTTCATTTTTTTTTAAATTTTTTGTATATTCTAAAATATTTTTATTTACATTTATTTTGTCACTTAAAAGGTGATCATCTCTTTTTTTAAAATTGTTTTTATCTGATATGTTATTATAGTTCATATCTATAAATATTTTATTTATATCGTGCATATCATCTTTTTTTTTTTTATCATTTATTTTAATACTTTCACTTAGACTATTTAGATAATTATTTCTACTTATTTTATCAGTGCTGTAATTTTCTTCTTTCATTAAGTTACTTAAAATTACGTCACTCTTTAAATTATCAAAATTATAATTCTCGTCAAATTTATCTATTAAGATATTTTTACTATCGTCATTATTTAATCTATAGATATTAGGCGTATTTAAAAGTCTCTCAGTAAAATTATTATTAGAATAGTAGTTTTTATTTTTTAAATTACAAATGTTATTTTTATTAATTTTTTTTGAATTTTTTTCATTATTTAAATTTTCTTTGTGCATTATATTTTCATTATCATTATTAAAAGAGCTTAGTAAAGCTTGATTATGATTCTGGCACATTTTTTTAAGTGTTTTTATTTGCATTTTTATGAAGTTCGTATTAAAATTCGAAAAATAAATATTTAATATATAGATTATAATTATATTTAATACAGCTAAAAGGAGTAAATTTAATTTAAATGAAAAATATAGATTTTTGCCTTCGTTGAAAAAAAATATTAAACGAATCATAATTAAAGAAAAATTTTCAATGATAAAAATAAGACATACTGCTCTAGTCTTGTAATTAGGTTTGATGTTTTCTGTTATTATGATACATAAAATGTTATTAACTCCCTTAATAAAAAAACCACTTAAACAAGTTAAAATATAAAAAATTATTCGTGATATTAATAAAAAAAAATCCTCATTTTTCGTATTTTTAAATCCACTTTTAAAATTAATCCCATTCTTTTCCTCATTATTTTTTTCATTTTTTTTATCATCATTAATTTTTTTATTTTTTATAAAAAGATTTTTCTCTTCTTCATTATTATAATTAAATTTATTCATCTTATTTGCAATTGATAATATTTCATTTACACATATATTTATTATGTTTGTAACATCATCGTTTATTATATCTGTTAAATTTTGGTTTATTTTACTTGTATTGTTAGATGTTTCATTAAGTTTTTTTTTAATTATATTAAACATTTTATTCTCCCCAATTATATCATCTTGTAATCTAATAAAACTTTTATTTGAATGTTCTTTTATACATTCCTTAATTAGATTTTTAAAAAATTTATTCCTAAAATTTTGAGTACTTCTTTTATTTAAACTTCTAATAATGATTTTTGTTAAATCACGATTCAATTCTTTAAAATTATCCCTTATCTTATTTTTTTTTATATTTTTGTATAAATTATTATTTAATTTATTATAAGGATTATCTGTTTTTTTTTTTCCATTATAATTATTATTTTTATGATTTATATATTTTTCATTAAATATGTAATCTTCTAGGTATTTATTTAAATTATCATAATTCGAAGAAGGGACATAAATAGATTTATCATTATTTATATCATAAATGTACGTATTATTTTTGTTGTGATCATTATTTATATCTTTATTATTATTTTTATCGTCTTCAATTACAAAATTATCATTAGTATCAAGAGAAAGGTCATCTTTTTTATAATGAATTTTGTCTATAACATTTATTTTTTCTGATTCATTTTCATCTATTTTAATATAACTATTTGAAATTACTTTTTTATTAGCATTTTTTTTTCTCAATTTATCATTGTTATTAAAAATAAAATTTTCTAATTGATTAGTATTATTTTTTCTAAAAATTTTATGAGAATTTTCTTTATGAATCACATCTTTATCATCTTCTAACTTTTGAATTGATTCATTATAATTATTTATGTATTTATAAGTATTTCGATAGTTTTCTGTGTTAGTATCAGGATAAATATTTAGATTAAAAAAATTTTCACTTCTAAAAAGAGTTTTAGAATTTTCATAAAATAAGAAGAAAGATGGTTTTACAGTAATAAAAGTTATTAAAAATATAATAAATAAGATAGAAAATGAAATGTTAAGACATTTTTTTCTTCCATATATATCTGAAAATAAACCTAGAATTACTGCACCAATTCCTTGAAAAAGAAAATGAAAAATAAAATATAAATCATTAAATTTAATTGGATACAAACATATTATACTTATATACCAAGTATAAACAAAAAAACAAACATAACAAAAAATTAAAACATTAAATTTTGTTTTTGTTTTAAATCCTTCTTCTTCCTTCAATTTAATATAACATTTGTTTAATTCACTATTTGTATTGGAAATTAGATTCATTTTAAAAAAAAAAAAAAAAAAAAAACTCTTAGAAAATAGTTATAAAATAAATATGTAAAAAATAATACAAAATAAAAAATAGAAAAGGCATATTTTAAAGAAATACAAAAATTTTAAAAAAAAAAAAAAAAAAAAAAAAAAAAAACAGTAAAACTATAAATTCACATAATAATAATATTTCATTTTATTTAAACATAAAACATAAAAAAATATTTTTTAAGTTTTACTAATTAAAAATATATATATAAAAAAAAATTAACATTATTATATTCAACAAAATAATAATTTTACAAAATATACATATGTATATAAAAAAAAAAAAAAAAAATATTTTAAAATAGATAAATAAATAAGTAGATAGAAAAATAAACTAAATTATTTATTAATATTAAAGATTTTTTTATTTATTTAAATGAAAAATATTTCTAATATTTAAATGACAATACATATAATACAATTTCTTAAAATTTAAGTAAAAAAGAAAATAAAGGAAATTAAAAAAAAATATGTATAAAAATAAAAATGTAAAACTTCAAGAAGTTAAACTTAAAAATAAAAATTTTAAATATAATTTAAAACATTTTTCAAGAAAATAGATGAAATAAATAAGAAAAAAAAAGAAAAAAAAAGAAGATAAATAAGAAGATAAATAAGAAGATAAAGAAGGAAAAGAAAAAGAAAAAGAATGAATAGGATAATTATAAATCTACTAGTGTGTTCGTAATATATAGTTTTATATATTTAATAAAGAAAAAAAAAAAAAAATTTCTATTTTTAATTTATATGATTTAGGAGGTAATATAATAGAACAAAATAATATATATATATATATATTATGTAAATGTAAATTACAATTTTTTTTTTCTGTTTATTTTAGCATATATTGAAATTAAGAAAAATACATAAATTTATAAATGTTATGAAAATAATATAATAAAAAATTTTTTATAATATTTTTAACCTGTGAAACGTTTAAAATACCTTTAAATGTATTAAAGAAAACAAAAAATAATAATGTATTTATAAATTTATATAAATGAGTGAATATATATAATAATATAAATAGAATTAGAAGAGAAAAAAAAAAAAAAAAAAAAAAAAAAAAAAAAAAAGTGAAATTAATAAAATATTCAAGTTTAAAATTAACTTTAAGATAAAAAGCATTATATATATAAAGTACAAATGAAAAAAATTAGACAAAGTAATGAATTATATAAGAATATTTATGAGAATAAAGATGAAAATTCTTCAAATAAAAGCAATAATTCATATGATTTTGTAAGAACAAATTTAAATGTAAAAAGAAAAGAAAAAAGCTTATTTATAAGAAAAGAAATATTTGATCATACGATCATATATACAACAAGCAAACTAGAAGAAGGCTCATTATTAACTTATTTAAGAAATTTTTATGAATATTTTAAAAAAAGAAAACAAAATAATAATTATGAAAAAAACTTAAATGAAGAAATATATATTTGCTTAAACGATTGGTTAGCTTATAATGAATTAGTAAATAATCAGGATAATATATTATTTAATGTTTTTAGTACAAATATTTGTAAATCTTTGTGGATTTTATTAAGTATAACATTACAATGTGTGAGAAAAAAAAATAATTTAAATAAGCAAAACACAATATTTAACACATCATTTGAAGAGTTACACATTTACAAAACAAATAATAAAAAAAAAGAAAAGAAATGCACAGATGGTGAGAAAAAGGAGTTACTTAACAAATATGACAAATATAACATAAAAGATAACGAAGATAAAAATATCATGGATCATAATAAAATGAGCAATAATGAAAATAAAAAAGATATAGATTCTATAAAGAGAAATGATAATTATTTTAGTGTGTGGAATGATGGATGGTTAAATGAAAATATATGTATAGAGTTAGTAATATTTTTTATAATATTGCAATTTCTTAAAATAGATAATGTAAAAAAAAAATATGATAAAAGTTTAAGTGAGGATTGTTGGCCTAATTATATGGATTCCCCTAGATCAGTTAGTAATAGTAGTAATTCCTCTTTAAAAAATTTAAATAATTTAAATAATTCTTTGTATAGACAGAATTTATCAGATTTTTTTAATTTTTGTGGAAAAAATTACAAAAATTTTTTAAAAACTTACTTAATTGCATTTTTATCATCTACTGATATTTCAAATAGTACTTTATCAGATATGCCATTATATTTTAAAAATTATCATTTCTTTCTATTAGATTTTATAATTGATACTAATGATAATAAAAATGTTCATGAAAAATTTTTATTAAATAATGAGTATCAAATTTTATATAAAACGAAAAATATTTTAAATTGGTTATTAGATAGTTTGTGTATAAATGAATCAAATTATAATGTAGGTATGATGAATATGTGTTATTCTTCTGATATTTATGAAAACGATATTTTAAATTATGGGATTGAAAAAATAAATAATGACATATATGAAATTAAAAATTTACAAGGAAAAACCTTATATATAAATAATGATAAAAATATTGTTAATATAATTAATTGTAAAGAATGCAACATATTCATTATATCAACAGTAGAATATTTAAAAATAAATTTTTGCATAGATTGTTATATAATATGTTTATCAGTAGAAATGATTACCACTTTATTTAACTCAAGTAATATTGATATTCATTTAGTTACAAGATGTTTGAAAATTGAAAATGCTGTTGATACAAATATTTATGCGTATACAGAGACAAATATAATTATATTTGGTGATACTAGAAATATTCAATTAGCACCTTATAATATTTTAAATTCTAATCAAAAAAAATGCTTAGAGAAATCAAAAATAGTTTTTAATGAAAAAAATTGTGAACTTTTTGCATTTCCACTAAAATGCAAAACGAATTTATGTCATTCTTCTTTAAATTTAACTAATACACTTAAAACTTCTAATAACAATTTTATGAACACATATGATGAAAATAAGTTGTTAAGTAGAGAAATTATTACCAGTAATAATAATAATTATCATTTAAATGATAATAAAAAACTAAATATTTCTAATAAAACACATGAACATAATAATCTCGCTAGTTCATTTACTGATTATGTTTATTATTTATTGAACCCTTCTAATTTCTTCTTAGTTGAATTTTCAGATAATGATTTATATTGTAAAAAAAAAAACATGAGTGATAACTTAAATGAAAGTAAGTGTAACTCTAATGAAAATATAAATTATAACTTTAATGAATGCAAAAATAATTCTGAGAACAATAATTTAAAATATAACTTTAGTAATTATGTAAATAAAATTACAAATGATAAATATGTTTGTTTGTTTTTGCCTGAAGTTTATAAAAATGCTATTGAAAATCAAGATGAACATATTCTTAGTTTTCTAAATTTTATGAATAGCATAAAATTAACTAATTCACAGAAACAAAAGATAACAAAAATATTGACTTTTAAATTATATGAATATATTAGAAAATCGCAAAAAACGTTTAGATTATTAAATGATTTCATAAGAGATCAAGAAAATGCTAATGTTTATTTTAATAATTAAGATTTGTAATAATTAACTTTTAATATATTTAAAAAAAAAAAAAAAAAAAAAACAAGTAAGAAATAAACCAAATGTATAAAAGGAAACATATAGAATGAATTAAAAACGATTTGGTCATATAGAAATAAAAAAAATTTTACTTAAATAAATTATATAGTATGAGAATTAAGTATAATTTTTTATTTTTTTATAAAACATTTTAATACTTTTTTAACAGTTTATTTTTTATTCTTTTTTCCAACTTTTATATATATAATTTTGTTTTAACACTTTTTTTTTTTTTTTTGTTTCAATATAAAAATTATTTCATAACATAATTTATATATATTTTTTGCTATATTCATACTTCTATTTGATTTTTTTCTATTCTTTTTTTTAATGCTAATGGAAACATTTTTTGTTATGTTGCATTTTTATTTATTTATTTATTTTTATTTTTTTTTTTTTTGTTTTTCATATTCTTAAAAAGGTTAATAAATATAAAAAAAAAAAAAAAAAAACTAAGTTTGAAAAATTAAATATTTCTTTTTAGTATTTTTTTAAATATATTTAAAATTTTATAATATTATTAATTTCTTGAGAAAAATTAATTACATTATCATAAACGTGTGTAGAAATTTTTTTTTTCTTACCATCTGTTGCTCTAATTAAACACATATATTTCTTACTGCATTTATTATCATCTTTATTTATTTTTTTATTTTTTTTTTCATTAGTATCTTTTTTATGTCCAATATTTTTTACATCACTTCTTTTCACTTCATAAAAAAAAAAAAAAAAAACATTAAATTTTGTAAAATAATAAAAAGTGAAAATACAATCAATAATGCAATTGATATTTTCATATAAATAATACAAGTTTTAAAAATAAAAAAGTTCCTTATTTTTCTTTTTAATAAAATATATACCTTTTTTCATAGTTATCCATATTGAAGTTTTTTTTTTTCCTTCTACTTCTCCACACAATTTTTTTAATTCGTCAATGAATAAATTGTTGCTTAATAAAACCATCTTAAATAATATTTAACTTATATAAATTAATAAATATATATTAATCATATAAACAAAAAAAAAAAACAATAAAAATAATAATAAAATAATGAAATGAAAATAGTATAATAAAATAAATGTATTTAAAAAAAGAAAAAATAAATATAATAGTACTAAAAATTTTATACAAGATACTATTATTTTTTAAAATAAGTGTTAATGAAAAAAATCATTTAAAAAAATATAAGGGCAATTGCAAAAAAAAAAAATAAAAAAAAAAAAAAAAAAATTAATATAAAAAGTTACAAAAATGAAAATAAAGAGAAAAATGATAATAGTAAAAGAAAAAAAAAAAAAAAAAAAAAAAAAAAAAAAAAAAGTTAAAAAAAAAAAAAAAAATAATTATAATAAAAATTTAATATATTTATGTGAACAGGTATTATTTATCTTTTTTTTTTTTTAAACAATGTAAAAATAATAAATTTTTTATAAAATTACTACTTTTTTTGACCGTTAAACATTTTTAAATATTTCTTTATAATCTTAAAAATGAACATTGAATATGTAGAAGGTAGTGATATTAATGAGCTGATTAAGAAAATAGATATTAATTATAAAGAATGTGAAAAATATGATATATTTATTGAAGAAAATAATATAGATGAAGAGAAAGAATCATTTAACAATTTAAAATTTAGAAAAAAGAAGAATGATATAAAAAATTTTGAAACAAAAAATTTGAATAACAACCATGATGATAAAAATGAAATTAAAAAAGGAATAGACAACATTAAAAATATTATCTTTCAAAAAAAAATTAATGATAAAAATAAAAAATACGTAAATTTTAAAAAAGTAAATAATAAAAATGTATTAACTAATTTAAATGTAAGAATATTTTAAAGATAAGAAAATAGATACATAATAATTGCATTAATTTTTTAATATAGAAAATATTATTTTAAAATTTAATTCGACCTTTTAAAACATTATGAATATGCAATTTTTAATATTATGTATAGAAAAAAAGGTTAATATTAATTTTTTTTTTAGGTTAGAAAAAAGAGAATATTAGAAAGTAGTGATGATGAATCAGATGAAAATGAATTCTCATCATCTGTAAAAACAATAGTTGATTATGTAAAAAAAAGGAAAAATCAAAGAAAGAAGTAAAGTTTTTGAATTTATAAATAAATAAATAAATATATATGTATATATAAGAAGTATATTTTATATTTAAATATATATAGATAAATTAAGTAAATTTTTTTTCAATTTGCATCTTTTTTTTCCAAAAATTTGATTGAAAAATAGGGTATAAACATTATTTGTTGTACATTTAAAATTTAATATACTTAAAAGAAAATTTTAATAATGTTTTTTTATGTAATCTTTATTTATTATTTTTAATGTTACATTTGGTTTTAAAAAAGAAAATAAAAAAAAAAAAAATTTTCTAATGTTATTATTTTCAAATATTTGATAACTTTTTTTGTTTTTTTTTTTTTTTTTTATTTTTCTTAATGG